ACCTGTTATTCATAGGGTCGCTGCGAGTCATACTCGATTTGATGGCACCTAACACCACTGCCATGTCTCAACTGTATCTAACAAAAACAACATATACATAAATAAATATTTATAGACATTGTCACGTGCCGTCAAGTCATCTGCAACTCATAGTGACCCTATGTACAACAGCCTTAAACCCTACTCTATCCCTTGCCAATCTTATTGTCTCCGACATGCCTATCCCCATTACCCCAGTGACTGAATCAATCCATCTCATTGAGGGTCTTCCTCTCCTGCACTGTCCCTCCACTCTCCCAAGCCTGATGTTCCTCTCCAAGGACTGACCCCACCTTGCAACATGTCCAAAGTATGTCAGACAAAGCTTCAGACTCCTTGCCTCCAAGGAGCAGCCTGGCTTCACTCTCTCTGAGACAAACTTATTTATTCTCTTAGCAGTCCATGGTATATTCAGTGCTCTTCTCTAGCACCAAATCTCAAAGGCATCAACTCCCCTTCTATCATCCCTAGTCATTGACCAGCTTTCTGATGCATAGCAAGTAATTGCAAAGACCATGGCCTGCATCAGGTGCACCTTAGTCTCCAGACTGACATCGTTGCTCTTTAGTACTTTGGAGAGGTCTCTGACAGCAGACTTTTCCAGTGCAATTCATGTTCTAATTTCCTGGCTGTTGGTACCAAAAGTGTTGATTGTATAGCCAAGCAAACTGAAGCTGTCAACAATCTCAATCTCTTCATCATCCATCATGATGCTGCCAATCAGCCCAGTGGTGATAATCTTTGTTTTCTTGATGTTGAGCTTCAATCTATATTGAAAGCTTCAGTCCTTGACCTGCAGCAAGCTCTTCAGATCCTCTTCAGTTTCAGCAAGCAGGGTTGTGTCATCTGCATAATTCAGATTATTGATGACTCTACCTCCAATCCTGATGCCACACTTCTCCTCATAGAGCCCAGCCTCTTGGATAATCTGTTCCACATATAGATTGAAAATATATGGAGATAGGACACATCCTTGACACACACTCTTCTCAATTTTAAACCCTGCATTATTTCCTTGCTCTGTTCTGACAACTGCCTCCTGGTCCAAGTATTGGTTTCACATTAGCACAATCAAGTGTTCTGGGATTTCTATTCTTCTCAAGGTTAGCCACAGTTTGTTGTGATCCACACAATTAAATGCCTTTGCATAGTCAATGAAACACAGATAGACTTTCCTCTGGTACTCTCTGCTTTCAGCCAAGATCCATCTGACATATATAATATCCTTAGTGCCACAGCCTCTTCTAAATCCAGCCTGCACTTCAGGCAGTTTTCTTTTGATATGCTGTTCCAGTCGTGTTTGGATAATCTTCAGCAGAATCTTGCTTGCATGTGATATAAATTATACTGTTCGATAATTCCCACACTCTATAGGATCACTTTTCTTTGGAATGGGAACAAAATATAGATCTCTTCCAGTCAGAAGGCCAGGTGGTTGTCCTCCAGATTTCTTGGCACAACTTGGAGAACACATCCTCAGTGCAATATTGTAGCCAATGAGGTTTATCTGAAGCACAATTAATGCTAATTGAAAACTTTTCCCAAAAAATTTTACTATTTATATAATACAGATATAACCAGCCCACATGGTTCCTGACAGTTTTAGACTTGACTCGACCAGGCCATTGGCTCCAGCAGACCACTGGGAGGGAGTTGATCCTAATAAGGAAAGCTGTAGGTCAGAAGAGGAAATGAAGGCAGGTGTTACTTATGGACACTCAAGTGAGAGTTGCTGGGAGGTCACAGTAACAGGCCTGGTCTTCAGCATCACTCACTTCACTCCAAAAGATTAAGAAACCAATTGTGTGTGCATTGAGTATTAGAGGACTCATAGCAACCCTGTGAACGAAAGGACTGAGCACTGTTAGTAGAGTTTCTAGAGGCAAGCCATTTCGGAAGTGGATGCCACTCTTGCTTCCAGGCTTGTTTTAATTGGAAAGCTCCAGCAAACACTGTCCACCATGGGAAACCATTATCACATTTGGCACATCAGTGTCACAGTGTTCAGCATCACAGCAACCACGAGTTACCTCTGCACAGCAATGCACAGACCAGTGCTATACCACCTTCGGCTTGGTAGATTAAAACAAGTCTGGAAGCAGAAGTGGCATCCTCTGGAAACTCTATGAACAGTGCTCAGGCCTTTCATTCATAGGATCACTATGAGTCATCTACAACTCGACGGCACCTAACAACAACAACATAGGTAATTGGGTTTTGACATTGTAGTTGTTTAGCAAACTGAAAGCTCATGGTAGCCTTGCTCCAAGCAAGTATGCCAACATTTTTTCAACAACATGAGCTCACTTCATGCCTCTGTGTCACATTTTGACCATTCTCATGATATTCAGACTACAGTATAGTACAAATATAACTTTTTTAAATTTATTTTTTCATTACTAATTTCAACGAAAATTTACAGAGACTTTGGATTTCCATTCATTCATTGTTGCACTTTTCTCCCTTCCCAACCCTCCTCCCTAGTACATACACTACCCTCTTGAAAAAGTAAAAGAAAAATTCTTTCATTGTTTTACAATCCCTCCCCCCAGGTCCAGTCCACTATGCAGCCTTCGCTCTAGACTCAAGTAATGGCAAAAATACCTAGTCACATACCCCTTTTAAACAGTTTTTCCCACCTCATCTGTTTCAATGCAGTATATATTATTGAACCCATCTTTCTCAGTCTCTCTCCAACTCCGATGTCAGTCCTGTTTTACAACTGTGGCACCATGCAGTATTTGTCCTTTTGTGACTGACATACTTCACTCAGCATAATGTCCTCCAAGGTCACCCATTTTGAATAATGTTGCATGAGTTCCATGTTTTTCAATGCAGCGTTGTATTTCATTGTGTGAATATACCACAGCTTCTCTATCCATTCTTTTGTTGATGGGCACTTAGGTTGTATCCAACTCCTTGCTATTATGAACAAAGCCGCAATAAACATGGGTGTGCATATATCTGCTTGGATGTCAGTTATGGTCTCTTTGGGATATATTCCCAGTAGTGGAATTACTGTGTCAAATTGTATCTCTATTTGCAACTTTTCGAGAAAGCGCCATACCGTCTTCCACAGTGGTTGCACCATTTTACACTTCCACCAACAGTGAATAAGGGTTCCAGTTTCTCCACAACCTCGCCAGCAATTGTTGCTTGCTGTTCTGTTAAATTTTGCTATTCTGACTGGGGTGAGATGATATCTCATAGTTGTTTTGTAAACATAACTTTTATATGTACTGGAAAACAAAAATATTCACTTGGTTTGCTTTATTGCATCTTGTTTTATTGCCGTAGCATGTAACAGAATCAAAGAATTGCCTGTACTTCTATTGAAGAAAGATTTCAAAATATAATGAAACATTAAATCACGGAGTTCTTCCTAAATACACTGATCCTAAGGCTCAGTAAATATTGTACTCATAGCCTGGGAGTGGGCTGAGGCAGCTAGTGATTCCAAAGGAAGCCCCTCTGAGACAGCATTCAGGAGCCTTGACTGATAACTGAAAAGGGTGGTTTTGCATAAGTACTTCTTCAAATCACACCCTCGTGTGGTTCCCACTTGAGCGGACCCTATTGCTTGCTATAAAGGGGGGTGGCAAAAGACAAAAGGATGGAAAAAATGAAGAAAAAGGAAACCAAAGATGAGACAGAGAGAAAAACAGATCTAACAACTCTAACAGGTGTGACCATGAGGGGATGTGACATTTTATGAGCAGTGTGGAAACAACCACAAAGCCCCTAAATTTAAAAATGTCCTGGAGAAATAAGTCACTTTTGGTGATATCCAAGTCACCAGGGTAAAGAGGAGAGGTTTTCTGACTCATGTGCTGCCAGGGCTCAGTGAGGGTGTTGGGACCAAAGGGAAGGTGAGCAGGAGTCCGAGGGAAGGATGCAGCCAGGAAATAGTTGGCAATACCTGTAGCCCAGGCTGGCATGAAGACAAAAATCAGATCGCCTTTGGTTGCCTGCGGAGCTCTGGTACTTAATGGTAGGGAGTTGTGCTGCTAACCCAAAGGGATGCGGTTCAAATCTATCAGAAGCTCTGTGGGAGAAAGATGGGCAATCTCCTCCCATGTGGTTTACTGCTGCTGGAGGGTCAGTCAGTCCGTAACAGCAACATGATTCCCTAGCACAGTATCTACAGAAACAAGTCTATAGCCCCATGTCTGAAATTCTGAATAATTCTGTAATAAACTCTTTTGGCCATAAAGTCAGTTATTAATGGATACAAAGCTAGTTATAATCATTATTCACATCTTAAAATATTCAGCTGTTTCTCTTAAGATATACTAATGTGTTTATGAGTGTTGTCCCAATTTCATGTAGGTCTTTTGGAATATTGGGAGTTAGCTTTAAAAAAACCTGGAAAAGGCTGAATTCCAAAATTTATGTGATCACAAGCATATAAGATAAAAGGCTATGAATCTGAACTCACATCTGTTTTCTCTTCTTTCTTTAAATAAAAAGGGTGCATAGGGAAGAGAGGGCATTTGGATCACTTTGTGAACTGTGTTTGGGTGTCTAGGCTACAAGTTCATGAAGAGAACAAGAATACAACTGGTTCACCCAGCATGTGGTAAAGAAAGCAGGTACAAATGGCTAAATTCTTCTTGAGCACAAGAGAGACGGAAACCAAAGGGAGGCTGGTGTGTTGGAGGGGCATCTTTGAAGCGCAGCAAGTCTGACAGGGTTTGCTCTTCAATACCCTCCCAGCACACAGAAAGCAGAAGAGGGCGGAGGTTGATGCTCTGAGAGAAAAAAAAAAACAACTGCAATAGACGTACTAGGATCACGGCTGCCACCAAAGTTTGACTTATCACTTGAAACAGTGCAACTTGGCAAGAAACTTTGGCAACTGTGAGGTGGTAAGAAAGAGTCACTAGTATCCCTGTGGTGAGTGCCAGCCCAGAGAAGCTAGCAGTAAGGCCACAGTGCAAAGAGCTACCTGGGCAGGAGCCATGGCCCGGCCGCTTCTCTGCTGCCTGTGGATTGTGGGGACCTTAGCGGGCCTCTCAGCTAACCCAGGCCCCAAGCACTGTCCAGAGAGGCACTACCTAGCTCAAGGAGACCTGTGCTGCCGGATGTGTGAGCCAGGTAAGAGAGTGGGGCTGGGCAGGGGAGAGGGAGAGGTAGAGAGTGGTGAAGGGAAGAAGAGGAACCCTGCCACAGCCTGGAGGTGCTGCTTTGAAGAGGTGGAAAGGGGAAGGTGCCTTCTGTGGCCTTAATGCTGGACCCTGTCTCGTAGGAACATTCCTGGTGAAGGACTGTGACCGGCATGGAAAGGCTGCTCAGTGCAAGCCCTGTGTGCCAGGGGTCTCCTTCACACCAAACCACCACACCCGGCCCCACTGTGAGAGCTGTCGGCACTGTAACTTTGGTGAGATGCACAGAGGAAGGAAGGGTTTGGGGTGTGTGAATGGTGACAGTTGACAGCATTTGGGGAGCTGGACATGAAGAAAGGAAAGGAGTAGAAGTTCTGGCTTGCTTCCAGGCTCAAGGCAAGTGGGGCCCACGCTGGAAGGCTAGGTGAGGTGAGCGCATATTGATGTGGGGAGAAACCTAGTATTTCAGGAAAGAGGATGAGCAGGATTGAAGGGATTGATCAGAGTGCATTATGGACAGGATTGAGAAAATATTAGGGCAAAGAAGCTCTAAGACTTTAGATTTCAATGCACACTCACACCCAGCTGGTGAGCTGGCTTTGTTCCCAGAAGGCACCAGGTAGGCTGGCAGTTGGAAACTTGGAAGACACCTTTCTGTGGAAATAGTGCTGTGACACAGTGGGGGACAATTTTTACTGCACAAAAGCTAATTTGAGAAAACAAAAATGTGTGTGGATTTGTGTTTTCTTTGTATTTCCTTTTTCACTGAATCTTTCTTTAAAAATAAGACATTTAATATCTGGAGCTGTGCTGATTCTTTTAGTATTTCTCTATTTTAGCTAGAATTTTTAAAAACTGCTTCTAGTACATACTGAAGTACAGATTTTTACAACAGCCCCTTTGAACAAATGTTCTTGAGCATAACAGGATTGAGCAGAGCAAACTGCTTGGTCTTGCTAGGCTTTTTCATACTACATTATTTTAAAAGAGAGGAAGGGAGGCTTTAAATTGTAAATGACTAAAACAAGAGTAGCTTTAATATAAAAGATGTATTCTTTGTTGTTGTTGTTGTTGTTAGATACCCTCGAGTTGGAACCAACTCATAGCAGACCCTCCAATGGGTTTTCAGAGGCTGTAAAGACATGCAGAAGACTGACCACCTTTGTCCCACACAGCTGCTGGTGGGCTTGAACCACATGCCTTTGGGTGGGCAGCACAACTCCTTACCACTAAACTACCAGAGCACCCTGTCTTCCTTACTCTACTTAATTTAAAAGTGAGATTGTTTATGGATGATTTCTTCTCCTTTGAACAGCCCCAGCAGGATTGAAATTATTTCAACCAAAAGCCTCCACCACTCTCTCTGTGGGCCTACCAGAGCGGCCTGGTTCCCAAGACTGAGCTCATCTCTAATCCTTCCACTGTGTCCCAAAACAGCACAGCCCATGATCCTTCTTTGTAAGACTCATCACTGAGTCCTGAAAGCATGCAAGCAACACCAGGTACCAGGTTACAGCAGGCCCCTGGGTTCTGAAGGAGAAAGAACATGGAAAGGAGGATGAATGACTCTGGCCATCTCTGAGTCTCAGCTGTTGTTGTTGTTGTTGAGTCAGAACCAACCCACAGCTGACTCTCCAGTGGGTTTTCACAAGCAGTTAAAACCAACATGGGAGGAGACTGTTCATCCTTCTCCCATGGAGCAGTTGGTGGATTCAAACTGTGTGACTCTGGGATTGAAGTGCAGCTTCTTACCACAAGTGAGAGGGGAGTGAAGTGGGAAAGTGATTGAATTAGATCACATGTTGTCCATGGTGAAGGAAAGGCCCAGGTTTCTGGACACTTATGCCACTTCCTTGATTTTCACCTCACTGGCCTCATCTTTAACTCTTTCCTCTCCCCTTTAAGAGACAGCATCATGATCACCCCTATGCTCTAATTTTCTCCACCTTCAACTATCTCTCCCTCCTCCACCATCACTATTGTCACTCCACTCCTAGCCCCCCTTTTCTAGGCTTTTCTCACTTTTCCCTCACTTGGCCAAATTGGCCTACAATTCTTGGAGAGCTACAAAGAAACCAATCTCTAGTACAAATCTGAGTCAGAATTCATGAAGAAGAAGTCACAGGGACATAAGGGTTGAGAAGATAGTAACTGGCCCTTTTTCTTCCCTGGCAAAAGACATGCCTTGAGGAAAATGGTTAGGGTCGATAATAGTCTTGGGCATCTTCCAACCTTCCTATATCCATCCTCCATCTGTCAGGGATCCTCTCTTTGGGTCCCATGTGCACCGTCCTAAAGTTGTGTGAAGTTCCACTCAAATCTGGCCCATCTTCAAATATTCTGTCTGCCTCATAATCACCATCCTCTCAATACTAGCCACCTTCCCACCCAACTCAGCCGAGTGCAGCCCAAGCCCAGTGTAACTGATTGATAGTCACCCAGCATTTGATCTCTACAATTGAATAAAATGTGTATTTTAATGGCAGAGGATGTTAGTAATCAAATAATTCTAGTAAAGTAAAAAACATATCAGTAGTCATAGCAACATTATTCCTAATTGGCAAAAACTGGAAACTACTCAAATGCCTATTAGTAGTTGAATGAATAAATTGTGGTATAGTCCTGCAACAGAATAGTATACAACAAAGAGGATGAACAGTCCGCAGTTGCACTCAGTAACACGAATGAATGCCAAAGAACTGAGTAAAAGAATCCAGATACAAAGGAGTGTATGCTTCATGATTCTGTCTCTAGAGCACACAAATGGGCAAAATGAATTTGTGGTGTTACAAATCAGGCTATGCTTGGGAGAATTAATAACCAGAAGGGGGCATGAGAGGTGTTCCAGGGTGGTGGTCTTTTCTTACTCTGAGTACTCGCTACACGTGTGTGTCTCATTTGTACAAATTCACAAAGCTTTACATTTATACAGTTGTTCCTCAGGGCCCACAGGGGATTAGTTCCAGGACCCTTTTGAATTTAAAAACTGGGAGTGCTGTTCTTTATATAAAACAGCATAATATTTGCCTATAACCTATACATCCTCCTACATGTTTTAAATCATCTCTTCTTGTTGTTGTTGTTAGGTGCCCTTGAGTAGATTATGACTCACAGAGATTCTGTGATGAACAGATCTGACACTTGTCCTATCCTGTGCCATCCTTACAGTCTCTAATATGATCAAAACTACTGTGACAGTCACTGTCCGTCCACTACCTAACACAACAAAAATATTTTATAGATAGAACTTCATGCTTCCTCTTAGTCTCTGACAAATTTACTTTGACCACTTGATTACTTTTTTTCCCTCCAAATATTTTCAATCCAAAGCTGGCTGAATCCATTTATGTGAAACCCAGAGATACAAATGAATGCAAAATGTATGACATACATTCTTACAAATGTACATGTTTGTGCATTATACCTTGATTTTTTAAAAAAAATTGTTTTCCAGTAAAAAGTCATATCAGTGAGTAAGAGAGAAATTTATATAAGAAAAATGTGTCAGCTTTTCATCATGTCTATTTATGAACCTATGAATTCTCTAAAAGGTTGGGGTTTTTTTCTATAACTAGGGGACATACAGGCAGGTTTTATGGGGTGATGAGGCAGAAATAGAAAGGAAGCCTGTCCTAGATATTGGTCTAGTGTGGGGATTTGGGGTGAGAAGCAGCAGGAGGAGCTGCCAGGTCTCTGAAGGCCTGAGTGTCTGTGTGACTCCAGCCCTTCTCGTTCTCCAGGTCTCCGTATCCACAACTGCACTACCACTTCCAATGCCAAGTGTGCCTGCCCCAGTGGCTGGCATTGCCGGGACAAGGAATGTACTGAGTGTGATCAGCTCCCAAGCTCCCTGTTGGCCACTCATACACCTCAGGCCCCAGGCCCAGCCCTAGAACCCACCAGCTTTGCTTATGCTGATGAAAGTAAGTTCCTTTGCCAGTCACTTGGGGTAAGTTCCAACCAGCGCCCCTCCGCCTCCCCGCCACTTCCACACTCACACTTAAGCCTTCTAGTCTGCCTGTCTCCACATCGCCATCTCTTCCAGTTCCTCATGGGTGCCAGGAGGCTGCCTGCTGTTTCTTATCCTTGTCTGTTTTTCCAGAGACTGCTGAGACCACAACTGGCAGGCCCATGCAAACTCTGGCTCGTTTCAGGCAGCCATCTGCCCCTGCTCACTCTACTGACTGGCCACGTGAGTGTCCTTCCCAATTCCTACCCCAGAAAGACACACTTAGGAGTCTAGGTGGAGGGACAGCCAGAAAGCTCCTATGAGTAGGTAAGAAGAACAGGGAAGAGAAAAGCTGAGCAAGATGTTCAAGTCCTGATTCCACGTGGTGAGGGTGGGGAAGTGGGTGAGAGAAGACAGATGGGGTCAGAAGGGCTCGGCTGACAGGAGCCGGGGACAAGGCCCTTTTTCAAACTGTTGTGTATCCTCTGCCTCTCACAGCCCAAAATCTCCCATGTAACTCAGACTGTATCCGAGTCTTTGTGATTCTTTCTGGAATGTTACTTACTTTCACCATGGGTGGAATCCTGTTCCTCTACCAAAAAAGGAAACACAGATCACGTAAGAGCCAAAATACGGGTCTGTAGTCCTATGGGGGCAACACTGACACACCCCTGTAGTCCCTACCTCCAGTCTCAGTGCAGCTCCTCCAGCTCCCTCTGTACCAACCCTGCTTCCCTCCTCCTCTTCTATCAGTGTTGCCCCTTCTTACCCTGATTTGCTTATGTTACCCTTCACCCCCTTGGCACTGCTGTCCAAGACTCAACTGCCTTCCCTTCTGCAGACAAAGGAGAAAGTCCACAGGAGCCTGCAGAGCCCTGTGCTTACAGCTGTCCCAGAGAGGAGGAGGGCAGCGCCATTCCCATCCAGGAGGACTACAGAAAACCAGAGCCTGATCTCTACGCCTAAGCCAGCAGACCAAGGGCCAAGGACACACGATAAAGTGCTAGCCTCTAGCCAGGTCCACCTGCTTGGAGGGACCTGAACTTGGTGCCTCAACTGCAATACCATTCTCTCATCAGGACCCTTTGCTGGAAAAGTGGTTTTACATAATGGACAATGATGAGGGGCATTGGGAATGAGCTGGGGAGGGAAGCAGGAGTTCTGGCCCAGCCAGCTGCTTCTCTAAGCTGTGGGAGGGTCGGGGCGCTGGCTGCACAAGACACATCTGGCTATGAAAGCCCTACGTGCTGTATTTGCTCACCTAGAAGATCAGCAAAATAAAGTGACAGACTACAACACACTGCAGCTGTCCAACTTTCTGAAATTCCAGCCTCAGAATCCAGACTCCTCCTAGGGATCTGCCTTCTCCCGTGATACCTCACTACAGCCTGCCTGAGAGGTGTGGGGATGTGGGTGAGATATGAACAGAAATGAGCAAAGGGCCTCAGGCCACTGGGGATCCAACTTCTGCTGCTTAACTCCCCACCCCACCCTTATTTCCCCAAATTTCTAGTCCCACTTTCTTGGGGTTGGTGGAAGGCAAAATGGTGCACTAAAGACTCTTTCTGTGTGTGTGTGTGTGTGTGTGTGTGTGTGGTGTGTGTAAGAACAACAGTTAACAGGGCTCTGCCAGCTGCTATAAATTACTTCACCTACAGGCAAAGGTACCCACAAAAAGACTTCCCCTAAGTGAAAGTGAAACTAGGCTGACAGAACTGAAAAGAAAACAGAAGGGCTTTTGGCCAGCAAGGGGTGTTTGGAGAGCTAGCTATTTTTCTCCATCTCAGAACCTTGCAAACAGAGTGGGACAGTGGAGCAGAAGAGGGTGAGGGGGGCCCCGGAGAAGCCTCCATGGGCCCCGCGGAGGCATGGTGCCTGCTGCTCTGCTTGGCTCTGTCGGCAGCAGGAGAGGCTGGTGAGTGTGGGGAAGGCAAGCAGCCCCGGGAGGGAGCTCGGTTTTCGGGCCTGGTAACCACTCTCCCTTCAGTTCCCAGGACAGCTTCCAGAACCCTCCAAGCCCAACTGGCCAAAAGCTCAGTTGCTGACGAGTAAAGACCTAAGAGTGTATGGGAAGAGAGATCAAATGGAGAGCCTCCTCTGTGGATAATGTGGAGGAGTCACTGTGTTCCAGACACCTTCAGAAGGGGACAGGGTCCCCATGCTAGAAAAACCACTTAAGAGGTGTGCCCTCTGGGGTAGGGCAGAGGAAGACTATCAGTCATGAATGGCAGAAAATGAAGCTGATTGGGGAAATCAAAGATGGCTGCCAAGGCCCATATATTAACAGCCTCTCCACAGCACACCCCAGGGTCACTGCCTCAATATATGCCCATCTGTTTGGTTTTGCTGAGAATTCTTTTTTTTTAAATTAAATTTTATTCATTTTAATGAACATTTACAGAGATTTGGGGTTTTCATTCATTCATTGTTGCACTATTTTCTCTACCCTCCTCCCCAGTTCGTTCTTTTTTCCCCCCTTGAAAGTC